AGGGCACCTGACAATAACAACAAAAATCTGTGGGGGAAAAATATATCGGTATGTATCACTTAATGTCTATTTGGATAACATCCAACTCATATGTCTATGATCCCATAAGGTTTTTTTGGTTGTTGTTTTGTTTTTTAAAGGGGAAATAGCTCTCCTTTGTTTATTATTTCTACCTAATGGTTTTTAAGAGTCCTGGTATAGTGCTGTAGGATAAGCACTCAACCATAAGGTCGTTTTGAACCACAAGGTCGGAGGTTTAAACTCACCAGCCACTCCTTGGAAATCTTATACAGGGTTGCCATGACTCGGAACTGACTTAACAGCACTTAACAGCAACGCTGGTTTTAAGGAGTCCAGGTGTGGCTCTGTAGAATAAGTACTGGACTGAAAAGTCATTTGAATCTCAAGGCCATTTGAATTGCAAGGTTGGTGGTTCAAACTCACTAACCACTTCTCGGAGACCCTCTATAGGGCCGCTATGATACGAACCAACTCAACAGCACTCATCAACAAAAACAATGATTTAAAATGGGAAAATGCTGAGGATTTCTGCTCCTACAAAGACTTACAGCCTCAGGAATCCTATACAGTGACATTATGAGTCAGTAACAAGGACAACAATAACAATGGTTTTAAAGACCCCAAACCTAGACTCTTCTAGCACTGTGCTACAGGTAGACTACAGACAGGTGAAGCAGAAGACATGGCTCTGGACACAGGCTTTCAGATATTGTCCAGTGGTCAGCCTACTTAGCTGCCACCTCTACTGCCCTGTTCCTCCAGCCTCTGCTAGCAGCCCCAGCAGCAGTAATGGTGACAGCAAAGACCACCAGAAGCAGGCTCCATATTGTTTTAATATGATGTTCAAACAGCATCCAAATTACATCACATCCTATTACACAGAACATATCATGGATGTCAAGTGATAACATGCCTATATTTGTATACATGTGTACACGAACATAACACACTAAAAAGCAATTAGAGAAATGTGAACACCAATGGAATATTTCATGATAATAAGGAATAATCTGTTTTCTCTGCCCAGGTACTGTAGTGTGTGTGTGTCTAAGAGTTTCTATCTTTTAGAGATAGATACCAAAAGTATATGATGGCTGTGATTTCGTCATTGTCAATGTGGAACGATGAGGGTTCATTAAACTTTTTTAAATATTTCATGCTATAACCATGATTAGTATGATGTTGTTCTGAGACACATCCTATCTGAAGGAGATTTGTGGTGGTGGATATCACAGTTGAAGCTCTGACTGCTCTGTGAAGGCCCCCTGTGTGCTCACCCCTCCATTTGTCTTGTCTTTATTACTTTTACCATCCTGCCATTGCCTTCCCCTGAAGTCCACTATAAGTAGCACATAACAAGAACTTATGATAATTGGAGCTTAGCAAACTAAGAACACCTTGTGATCCTTTGCATTGTGTCCCAGAGAATTCCCTGGAATTATCACGTCTAAGTAGCAGTCTCTGCTGTTCAATTAATAGTGAGAATATCGATCAGCTTCTAGTTTATGTTCCTGCTAATGTGAACTACTGGTTTATTCTCAAACTTTAATTACAGAGTGTTTTTACAAGAGATTTTCCTACATATTGAGGTATCTGCTAGAAGCCAAGATTCAAGGACACAGAGGGAAAAAAGAGGCAGGGGGCCTCTTTTATTAGCAATGAGTGAATTGGTATTAGTCATCACTCTTGTCTTCTTTTAACTACAGGTATTTATCAAAGTGCTGGATAATAATGATAATGGCCCAGAATTCTCTCAGCCAAATTACGATGTGACAATTTCCGAGGACGTGCTTCCAGACACAGAGATATTGCAAATTGAAGCCACAGATAGAGACGAGAAGCACAAACTGAGCTATACTGTCCACAGCAGCATTGACTCCATCAGCATGAGAAAATTCCGGATCGACCCAAGCACTGGCGTCCTCTATACTGCCGAGAGACTGGACCATGAGGCCCAAGACAAGCATATTCTCAACATAATGGTAGGGCCAAACTGCTAATCTGCCATCTGGCATTAACCATTACAGGCACACATCTTAATCCCACATTTTAGTCTTCAGATGCGCAGGGTCTTTAAATTGTGTTGTTGTTAAATGCCATTAAATCAGTTCTGACTCATAGTGAACCTGTGTGTAGGGTTTCCAAGGCATGGCTTATGAGTTTGAATCACCAGCCTTGCCATCAGCAGCCCAGTGTTTCTCCTATAGCACCATACCAGTTGAACTACAGTTGTTGTTAAGTGCTATCAACTCATTTCTGACTCATAGCAACCCTACATAGAGTTTCTGACGAGCAACTATTGGGTTTGAAGTGCCGACTTTGTAGTTTGTAGTCCAGTGCAGATCCAGAAATTCCACACCAGCTATACTACGAGTTGTTGTTGTTGTTGCTATTAAGTGCCATCGAGTCAGTTCCAATTTATAGTGACCTTGTATAGGGTTTCTGAGGAGCAGCTGATGAGTTTGAACAGCAGACCTTGCAATTCAAACCAAACTTGCGGTCCAGTGCATTATCCTACAATGTCACACTAGTAAATAGTAGTACATCTGGTCATTTCACAGGTAAGTTGCCTTCTTTCAGGGAAGAAGTCATGTTATTTCAAGGAAGAAGTACTGTTATTAGGCAATGACTATATTTTTGCCAAGCTGAATTAGAGAAATTCTACAGATAGAGGCTGCTCAGTGCATGCTGCTGGAAGACTGATGGACTTGGAAGGGAAGTAACAGGCCATGTTTCTGTAAATCTAGGCTCTGTGTTGATTTCTATACAGTAGACTTTATGGAAAGGAAGTTCTTCAAGAAGTTCATAAAAAGGGTAATCATTACTCAACGCATGCAATGCTTGGTTCTTAGACTGATTTAGTACTTACGTATGGGCATTGGACCTAGTAGTAAATACTGGTACACCTGAGATGGCTGAGCACACCAAAGCCTGTAGACTGTTCATTCTCAACCTGAGTTTGTTGGGCCTCTAAATGACATAAGAGACATTGCTTTACTTTTCAAGTAAAATTTCCATATTTGAGATAATTGGAAAGTAGAAACAACTAAGAAACATCCCTGATTTGTTTATGGCCTAAAATCTGTCCCTTTAGCCACCCAAGAACCCTATGGACAGTGCACCGCCTAATAGAGACTCTACTGTATTTGTTAAAACCAAGTAGAACAAAGATTTAATCTTGTGCACTGATGGTCTTTAAAACGCACCACAACGTTACCAAGTCCCAAGCAGCTGAAAAGGATGTTCCATTAAGTGCAATTCTTCTTTCAAAGACTGGAATCCTCCAGGGGTCAAGAGAAAGCTTGTTTGCCATGTCCTGGCTTATGGTTTCCTACTTAAACTACAGGGAAGAGAAGTGGGGACTCACAGAGGTCCATCCCTCTGCTTCTTCATTCATTTGTTCAACAAACATTTCTTGAGTACCTTCTGTGCACCCTTGGAGCTGACATTCAGTTGTAACAGACCAGGTTTCAATAATCCCCAAATAAAGAGTTTAACTTAGTCTTTAGATGTGGGAAATTCACACAAGGAAATTCAGCGAATCCAATTACTTTTGCATGTGCTTTCCTCAGGGCAGAAACTTTGTGCTGGTGACTAACTCCATTCTCACAGCTTCTCAAGTCATTACCATTCTTCCTCTCCTTAAAAAAACACAGAATACAACTCAGTCACCCTCTCCCATTTATCATTTGTGTAATTAAATATTTAGAACAAACAACTATAATCTTATGCTGCTTTATCCCAAGCTAAGCCATTTTAGTCAATTTCCTCCTTCCTTCCAGGTGTTATTCCCTTCTCTTTGATGGCTCTATTTGGTATCTTTTCTAATTTCTTCATATCTCTCTGAAGCTATGGAGTCCAAAATTGAACAAGTCAAGAGTGCACATTTGATTAATGTTAAATCAAAGTATAACAAAATCATGTGGTTAGAGTTAAAGAATTGATTGGTTGCAAGTATTGTCTGCCATATGCAATTCAAGGAAGAAGCTCTTTGTTGAAGTCAGAATGAGGGCATCACATTTTAGGAAGTAAGCTCTATTCATCTTCCCGGTGGTCAGAATTCCCCCTCTTCTCTGAGTCTTTGTACATTGCTTCTTCTTGCTTGAAATATGTGTGAAATACACCCCACATCCTCATTATATCACCTCTATTTATTCTTGTAATGTCTTTCAGAAAGCTGAATGCTGTTAGGTTCTTCTTACTGCCTACTTCCAGGATGCCCTACATTTATCCCTTCCTGACAGATACCACTTAGCATTATATCTGTCTACATACTTGGCATTCTCCATTCAACTATAAGCTTCTTGAGGGCAGGGACAGGTTGTCTAACTCACTGCTTAACTGACAGAGTCAAGCCAAGGGCTTGAAAGATACTGTTTTATTTTGTTTTAAGTTGCTTTTGAATCGATTTCGACTCATGGTAACCCTATGAGCATCAGAGTAGAACTGTGCTATTAATGTCTTTAGTGGCTGATTTCACTAATAGCCCACCAGGCCTTTTTGAACTACCATGCCTTAGTCTGGAAGTTTCGCTGCAACCTGTTCAGCATCAAGCACTATGAAAAGCCTCCACTGACAGGTGGGGTTGTGTCTACACATGAGGGGTATTGGCCAGAAATTGAACCTGAGTCTCCAGCAAAGAAGGCAGGTTTTCTACCCCTGAACCTGGTGGCAATAAAAGCTTGTTGAATGAATGAATGATAATATTCATCCCTCCTTTCATTTCCTCTTTGGAACAGTTTCCATGCACCATTCCATTATCAGTTGTGTACACAAATAATCAGGTGCAGAGTGGCTGTGTGAGGGGGGCTAGAGGAAAGTACTGTGTATGTGGTCATCCAGGCATCAACTCCACAAACACAAGCCAAGAATGAGGTCGAGCAATAAAGACGATGTGACTCCTGTCCTCAACTTGTTCACAGATTCCTAAGTTGATAATACCACCATTTACTGAGCACCTAATATGTGCCTGGAATTGAGTCCAGCACTCTGCATGTTTTATCTCATTTTGTTATCACTATGTTGTTGTTGTTGTTATGTGCCGTGGAATCGGTTTCGGCTCATAGCGATCACTATACACGCAGCTATATGGGTTATTTGCAGCATACAATGTTAGTCCTTTTGCTTCTTGTATTTTGCTTAAAGGTCAGAGATCAAGAGTTTCCTTACCGAAGAAACTTGGCCCGGGTCATTGTGAATGTGGAAGATGCCAATGATCACAGCCCTTATTTTACCAATCCACTGTATGAAGCATCTGTGTTTGAATCGGCTGCCTTGGGATCAGCTGTTCTGCAAGTGACTGCACTGGATAAAGACAAAGGGGAAAATGCAGAACTCATATATACCATAGAAGCAGGTGAGAGCTGATGCACTGCACAGATTTCAGTGTGAGGCATGGTTTTCCACCCTCTCTGATATCTATCACCGTGTAAAATTTAGATGGTTACCACCGGGAATGTCTCCAATGGAATTGTTTGGCCAAGTGACCACCCTATTTGTTGGATGGTGTTGTTTCAGCAATCAGCTTTCCATCATTGACAGTAAGGAGTTTCCTACTTTGTTTTCAGTCTTGGATTTTTCTGGAATGTAGAGAAGAGAAAAAAAATTGTAATAAACTCAGCAGTTTTTTACTTGTAGGTCACCAATCCAGATGAAAATAACTCAGATCAAAATAAGCAAACTGTCAGGACCTTTTGTGACTCTTACATGCCTCTGTTCACTTGTCAGTAGGCGGCCTGTGAGTTCCAGAAATTCTTGCATCCCCATAGCTAAAATAATTTCACTTCATTGGAGGTGAGCTAAGGAGCAGAGAGATAGTCGGTAGGTGTGCAGCCTGAACTGCCGGCCTACCCTGTCAGATAAATTTGTTCTTCTTGTTGTGAAGTGCCATCGAGTCAGTTCCAACCCATAGCGACCCTGTGTTGGGTTTCCAAGGAGCAGCTGGTGAGCTTGAACTGCCAACCTTGCAGTTCAAACGGCTTTGCAGTCTGGCACATTGACCCACAGCACCACACCAGGGACACAGGCTCTCATTTTGTTCAATATGAGATTAAAAAACAAAAACCAAAAAACCCTCTAAATGCCAATAAAGCAAGGCTATAGTTTACATGATGCTTTAAAGATTGGCAGCAAGAGAATCCACCTGACAGAATAGATGAATGGCCTCGCAAAAAGTAGGACTGTGAACCTAAAAATGAAATATATCCTTTATCTACTCTATTTCCCATTCTCCTGTTTTATCTTTTTTTGAATATTCAAGCCACATATTTTCCAAATGTTCTGCAACATTACAACTGTCATGCACAATGCCAAATGCCGTATCCTCTTATGCCAGCCCTGGACAGACTCCTTTCCCTTGATTTGAATGTGGAGTTTTTTATGAGTGGTTGAATTAAAATATGAATGTTAGGATGACAGTTTGGGACTGAAAAATATATTAGAAAAGTCAAAATCAACAAAAAAGTCTTTAAAATTTTTCCCTGCACTGAATGATAATCTAAAAATATTTCCTATATTATCATTGTTGTGAAGTGCGGTGGAGTCTGTTCCAACTCATAGCAACCATGCATAGGGTTTCCAAGGAGTGGCTGGTGGCTTTGAACCACCAACCTTGTGGTTCAAACCAACCTTGCGGTTCAATGCCTTATCTCACAGGGCCATACTAGGACATTTGACACAGGTCTGAGCTAAGATCTACACAGCAACAACATCAACAAAAAATTGCATTAGTTCATAACAACCAGTTGCTCTAGCTAATTCACCGATTTCTTTTCCAGGTTTCCAAGGCCAATAATACATCCTTGGTGTTGTTTTTAAGTACTGTGGAGTTGAGATTCCTACTCCTAATGACCTGTATAGAGTTTCCAAGGAGCGACTGGTGGGTTTGAACCATAGATCATGTGGTTAGCAGTGTGTATCCTGCAGCACCACACCAGGACTCCAATACATCCATAGAAATACTAATTTGCATCTCTTGGTTGTCACAGTTCATTTTTATTACTCAAATATATAATCCTTGTGTGTTTTTGTCTCTGCAAATCACACAGAGAAACATCTTCATTAAAATGAATATTTAATATCACAGAAATGTTACCTAAATTGACAACTCACATATTCTTCCTGTGGCCTCTTCTTATCTTTTTGTTTTCCTTTTTCCCATTATTGATTCATGTTCACACATTGTTTTATGTCATTGTAATCATTTAGATTCAAGGTTTTCTTCTTGCTTTTATTTCTAAATATTTTCTGAACAATTGACCATATGTCTATATGCTTTTTATATTTGTCACTAGGTTTACTATTTACACTTCCCTTAGATAGCAAGATGATTTTTAAACCAATTTAGAGGTTCTCACAGAGTAACATAACCAACCATCCAGCAGAAAAATTGTCTTGTTATCTTTTCTCTGTGATATACACAGAGAAGGAACTCAGGCCGTTTCTTCAACAATTGACTAAAACTAGAGAAAAAATGATTTCCTTAAAATATCTTACATATAGAAAATCAGAACTTCCTGAAGCCACAGAAATGATTCATATCTCAAAAATGACCTTTGATTGTATGTGCAAGAAGCTAGTGGGAATTACAGTATGTGCAATAAATTTCAAAGAGTCGCCAGGCCCCTTTATGGACAGACAGATGTACACTAGGCATAGACTGATCTATCACAAGCCAACACAGTTTCTTCCCAGATGATGGTGACCGCAGAAGCATATCCCAGAATCTTCAGCACTCTGAAGTAAGTGACAAGTCATTGTGCGTAAAGTACACATTTTATTTAAGTTCTCCCTCAAACCTCAGATAAGCAAGATTTGACTGTATTTATTGGTAGATCATAAATTTCCTATCACCTGTCTGGCCTCTAAAGTAGCTATTGATGAACCAAGTGGAATTTGAGGGCAGAACTTCAGATCTTACATTTAATTAAAGTTTTATGTTTTGGTGTCAATGATGGTTCATGGGTGGCTCTGCGACAGGGCAGTCCAGGAGAGACCAGGACTAAGAGTTGAATTAAAAGTAGGACATATTGGATCCCAAGATGTATATAGTTAGAAAACTAAACATCTTTTTTGATACAATTTTTATTTTATTTATTTATTGAGCACCTTTTTTGTGTGTCAGGCACTATGCAGTATAATAGATCAACAATGATATGTAAAATAGACACTACCTTTGCTCAGTTGCCAGAAGTGGCCATAGAGTCTTAGAAATCAAAAGTTAGTTTCCAGGATTCAGTGGAGAGAGGTGGAGTGAGCAGGAATAAATTGCAAGGAAATGGAATACACACCTTAATCAGTGCACATAGAGAAGCTTGGTTCTGTTTACATTCGTCATCCATAAGGTCATGTTGTTGTCATCACTGGACGGTGGCCACAGTTCAGGTATTTTCTCCTCTGAGATGATGAAGAGAAGCAATGTCTGGCTTCTGAGAGTCTAGGAATCAAATGGTGGACTCATACAGTTCCATAGTGCTATGACTTAAAAATTCAATAGCTTGCTCTTATTGTCATTAAACCTCTTACTGTTATGATCACAAAGTGGCCATGTTAGGTTGTTATTAAATGTTCTCAAGTCAGTTCTGACTCAAAACAACCCTTTATAGAGTTTCCAAAGAGCAGCTGGTGGATTTGAACCATTGACCTTGCGATTCAAAAATAGCCTTGCAGCCCAGTGCTTATCCTACAGTGCCACACCAAGTAAAATCTCCTGCTGACGTCATGTCATTGTTATTAAGTGCCGTCTAGTCAGTTCTGACTCATAATGACCCTGTATAGTTTCCAAGGAACAGATGGCGAGTTTCAACCCTTAACCTTGTGGTTCAAACCAGCCCTGCAACATTATTAAATGGCACTTTTGGAGTTAGAATCTAATTTGCCTGTTTACAGTGTACGATGCTGTTGAATGACATCAAATTCATTCCAACTCATAGCAAGCCTACATAGGGTTTCTGAGGAGCAATGAGTGGGTTTGAACTTCTGACCTTACAGTTAGCAGTTCAGTGCTTATCCTACAGCACCACTGAGTATACTTCCTGTTTAAAAATCATCAAGTGTCTTATTGAAATTTTATATGAACATGACTTTTTTCAGACATAGAAAAGTTTATTTAATAAATATATCATAAGAAGATGCAGCTGTGTTTTCTGTCAATTTGAACAGGCACATTACGTAGCTTTCCTCTGAATCTTGGAGCCAATCTTAATGATTTTGACGTTTAAATTGTCTATATATCTACTATTATAGAGTACATCAAAGTAAAAGAAAAATCCAAATATAGTTAAGTCGGCAAGATACTTTCCTTGTATTATTTAGAAGAAACTAGATGCATAAGCTTGTGTATTCTTAAAGATGACAGAATGCCTAATGAGAGAAACAAAAGGCAACTTGATGAGTTCTGCTTTTGAACTCCACGTCACCATTTATTTTCGTGACATTCTTCAAGTCCTGTGTTCCTTACTCTTTACTCTCTTATTTAAATCATCCTTAACAATACCAGATTTCAAACCATTGGAGATGTCAGAAGCAAAGCTCTAAGATCCTATGGAGTCATATGTCACAGCTGTTCCCATTTTAGATACGTCAAGGGAGTGAGTGAGGGACTTAGTTTCTCAGTTTAATGCCTCAGATTTCTTGGCTTCAGTACTGGTTCCAATTATCACCAGAAAGTCCTCAAATATTTCATCAATAAAATGGGTATTATTTGGAGCAACTGCCCTGTTTTTTCATGTGTAATTTTATTTCTCTGTATATCCAAGTATGTGTTTTGGGTCTTTGGAAAAAAAGGTAGAGCAAGAGAGAAGAGTAGAAAAAGGGTAGTCAAGAAAAAATCCTCACAACTCACAAAGCGAGTAGCTCTTAAGTGCCATTGAGTCGGTTCTAACTCATAGAGACCCTGTATAGGGTTTCTGAGGAGCAGCTGCTGGGTTTGAACTGCCAACATTTTAGTTTGCAGTCCAGTGGTTGTTACTTGTGAAGAGTTTGCCTGAACAAAAACCACCATCACCAAAATAGTGTTTTGATTGATCTCTCGATCGGGTGAAACAGTGTCAGTTTCATGTAGCACAATTTACCTTTGGGATATAATCTGAAGCCAAATAACTACATTAACATGTTCTGAAACTATACCTACCACCCTCTTTCTCTTAGCATGGAACAATGAGGCCCTGGTTGAGGTATGAATACATTTATGCCTGTGGTTTTGGTGGATCCCAGCCCATCTGTTACTCTTCTCACAAGACTGGGATTGAGGAAGTTCTATACTTTCTTAGTGGAAAAGCTGCTCCTACAAATCCTCTTATTTCCTTACTTGAATGTTCACAGTGCTGTGTTGTGGTGGTGACTATTGGTTTTTGCTGTTTTTATCTGAACTGTTGGTGTTGGTTGCTGTAGAGTCGTTTCTGACTTGTGTTGATACTATACAAGCTGAGTAAACTGTACTCTGTAGAGTTTTCAAGGCTGACCTCTCACAAGCAGGTCGCCAGGCCTGGCTTCTGAGGCACTGCTAGGTGGTTTGAGCTGTCGGCCTTTTGGCTAGTAGTTGAGTGTTTAGTCATTTGATCTATGCAGAGACTCAAACTTATTTCATTTGCTTTTGTTGTTATTGTTGTTAAGCACCGTCGAGTCAGTTCTGACCTATAGCCACCGTGTACAGGATTTCAAAGGAGCAACTGGTGAGCTTAACACCCCTAAAAGAGAAGTCTTTCATTTTATTCCAGAATGCAATGGAATGAGTACATTAATTGCTTTAAATTTTTGAAGAGTTAATCATCTAAAAGATCTTGATGAACCACTTGTAACTCATTTTTTCCTGATTTCTATATTTTAGGGAATACTGGAAACTCATTTAAGATCGAACCAGTCCTGGGTATCATCACTGTTTCCAAAGAACCAGACATGACAACAATGAGTCAGTTTGTCCTATCAGTCAAAGTCACGGATCAGGGGTCCCCACCGATGTCTGCCACTGCCATTGTGCGCATTTCTGTCACTATGTCTGATAATTCTCACCCCAAGTTCACACACAAAGACTACCAAGCAGAAGTAAATGAAAATGTGGATATTGGAACATCAGTAATTCTCATCTCTGCCATCAGCCAATCTACCCTCATTTATGAAGTCAAAGATGGAAACATCGATGGTATATTTATCATAAATCCATACTCTGGAGTCATCACTACTCGGAAAGCATTGGACTATGAACGCACTTCCTCTTATCAGCTCATCATTCAGGCCACTAATATGGCAGGGATGGCTTCCAATGCTACTATCAGTATTCAGGTTGTTGATGAAAATGATAATGCCCCAGTGTTTCTCTTTTCTCAGTACTCAGGCAGCCTAAGTGAGGCTGCCCCAATCAACAGTGTTGTCAGAAGTGCAGAGAACAGCCCACTGGTGATCCGAGCCACTGATGCTGACAGCAACCGGAATGCTCTACTGGTGTACCAGATCGTGGAGTCCACAGCCAAGAAGTTCTTCACTGTCGACTCCAGTACAGGAGCAATCAGAACAATTGCCAATCTGGACCATGAAACCATTGCCCATTTCCATTTTCATGTGCATGTGAGAGACAGTGGTAGTCCCCAACTGACTGCGGAGAGTCCCGTTGAAGTCAACATTGAGGTGACAGATGTGAATGATAACCCACCGGTGTTCACACAGGCTGTGTTTGAAACTATCTTACTTCTACCTACTTATGTCGGAGTAGAAGTGCTGAAAGTTAGTGCCACAGACCCCGACTCGGAGGTGCCCCCTGAACTGGTATATAGCCTCAAGGAAGGCACCTTGGAGAATTTTTTAATTGATTCAAACAGTGGTGTGCTCACCATCAAAAACAGCAACCTCTCCAAAGATCACTACATGTTGATAGTTACAGTGTCTGATGGAAAGTTCCATAGTACAGCCATGATCACCATCATGGTTAAAGAAGCCATGGACAGTGGCCTCCACTTTACACAAAGCGTTTACTCCACTTCAATCTCAGAGAACAGTACTAACGTAACCAAAGTTGCTATTGTCAATGCAGTTGGAAATCGCCTTAATGAGCCCTTAAAATATAGTATCTTAAACCCAGGAAATAAATTCAAGATCAAATCTACCTCAGGGGTCATTCAGACCACCGGAGTCCCCTTTGACCGTGAAGAACAAGAATTATATGAACTGGTGGTAGAAGCCAGTCGTGAACTAGACCATCTGCGAGTGGCTAGGGTGGTGGTCAGGGTTAACATTGAAGATATAAATGACAATTCTCCAGTCTTTGTGGGGCTCCCTTACTATGCTGCTGTGCAAGTTGATGCTGAGCCTGGGACTCTGATATATCAGGTGACAGCCATTGACAAAGATAAAGGTGCCAATGGGGAAGTGACCTATGTTTTACAGGATGACTATGGCCACTTTGAAATTAATCCGAATTCAGGGAATGTTATTTTAAAAGAAGCATTCAACTCTGATTTGTCTAACATTGAGTATGGAGTCACCATCCTCGCCAAAGACAGTGGAAAGCCCTCTTTGTCTGCATCTGTGGACCTTCCTATTACTATTGTCAACAAAGCAATGCCTGTGTTTGATAAGCCCTTTTATACAGCATCCATAAATGAAGACATCAGAATGGACACCCCCATTCTAAGCATCAATGCCACCAGTCCAGAGGGCCAAGGGATTATATATATCATTATTGATGGGGATCCTTATAAACAGTTTAACATTGACTTTGACACTGGGGTCCTGAAAGTTGTTAGCCCTTTGGATTATGAAATGGTATCTGTCTACAAGTTGACAGTAAGAGCCAGTGATGCGCTTACTGGTGCCAGGGCTGAAGTCACAGTTGACTTGCTGGTTAATGATGTAAATGACAACCCTCCTATTTTTGATCAACCCACATACAATACAACATTATCAGAGGCATCTCTCATTGGAACACCCGTTTTGCAAGTTGTCTCTACTGACGCAGATTCCGAAAATAATAAAATGGTCTATTATCAAATTGTTCAGGATACTTACAACAGCACAGATTATTTTCACGTAGACAGCGCAAGTGGCTTAATCCTGACAGCTCGTATGCTGGACCATGAGTTAGTACAACACTGCACTTTGAAAGTCAGAGCAACAGATAGTGGCTTCCCATCACTGAGCAGTGAGGTCCTGGTTCATATCTATATCTCAGACATAAATGACAACCCTCCTGTTTTTAATCAGCTCATTTATGAGTCATATGTGAGTGAATTAGCACCCCGGGGCCACTTTGTGACCTGTGTTCAAGCCTCTGATGCAGACAGCTCTGATTTTGACCGGTTGGAATACAGCATCTTATCTGGAAATGACCGGACGAGCTTCCTAATGGACAGCAAGAGTGGAGTCATCACGCTGTCCAACCACCGGAAGCAGCGGATGGAGCCTCTGTACAGTCTGAACGTGTCCGTCTCTGATGGCCTATTCACCAGCACCGCACAGGTGCATATCAGGGTCCTTGGAGCTAATTTGTACAGCCCTGCCTTTTCACAAAGCACGTACGTAGCTGAGGTGCGAGAGAATGCAGCTGTAGGGACAAAGGTAATTCATGTTCGAGCCACAGATGGGGATCCAGGAACATATGGACAGATCAGCTACACCATCATCAATGACTTTGCCAAGGACCGATTCCTCATAGACAGTAATGGACAGGTTATAACAACAGAAAAGCTAGACAGGGAAAATCCTTTGGAAGGAGACATTAGTATTTTTTTGAGGGCCCTTGATGGTGGAGGAAGAACAACCTTCTGTACTGTGAGGGTCATTGTGGTGGATGAAAATGACAATGCTCCCCAGTTCATGACTGTGGAATATAGAGCCAGTGTCAGGGCAGATGTTGGAAGAGGCCACCTAGTCACTCAGGTCCAAGCAATGGATCCTGATGATGGAGCCAATTCGAGAATTACTTATTCCCTGTATAGCGAGGCCTCCGTCTCAGTGGCTGACCTCCTGGAAATTGATCCTGACAATGGCTGGATGGTCACAAAAGGGAATTTTAATCAGCTGAGAAATACAGTGCTGTCATTCTTCGTCAAGGCAGTGGATGGGGGCATTCCAGTAAAGCACTCCCTTATTCCTGTCTATATCCATGTACTGCCCCCTGAAACATTCTTGCCTTCATTCACCCAGTCTCAATATTCCTTTGCTGTTGCAGAAGATACTGCCATTGGGAGCACAGTGGACACTTTGAGGATTTTGCCCAGTCAGAATGTCCAGTTTAGCACAGTTAATGGGGAACGGCCAGAAAACAACAAAGGGAGTGTTTTCATCATAGAACAGGAGACGGGCACTATCAAGCTTGACAAGCGCCTTGACCACGAAAGTAGCCCTGCTTTCCACTTTAAAGTAGCAGCCACTATACCACTGGACAATGTAGACATTGTGTTTACTGTGGATGTAGATATCAAGGTACTGGATTTGAATGACAACAAGCCAGTTTTTGAAACATCAAGCTATGATACAATCATAATGGAAGGGATGCCTGTGGGCACCAAACTCACGCAAGTGAGAGCTCTGGATATGGATTGGGGAGCCAATGGGCAGGTCACTTACTCCCTCCACTCGGATTCTCAGCCTGAGAAGGTAATGGAAGCGTTCAATATCGACAGCAACACAGGCTGGATCAGCACCTTGAAGGACCTGGATCATGAGACAGATTCCACATTCACCTTCTCCGTGGTGGCCTCTGACCTTGGAGAAGCCTTCTGTCTTTCTTCCACAGCTTTGGTGTCAGTTAGGGTGACAGATATAAATGATAATGCACCAGTCTTTGCCCATGAGGTGTACCGAGGGAATGTGAAGGAGAGTGATCCGCCAGGTGAAGTAGTAGCCGTTCTTAGCACATGGGACAGAGACACTTCTGACATTAATCGCCAAGTGAGCTACCATATTACAGGTAAGTCTCACCTCCCATGGTTTTCACAACATGCTCAGCTTTCTAAGAATACGTTGAAGTGTAGGAGTAGGAGAGAAGAAAGGTAAGATGAACACAGAATATTGAAACCTCTCTGAGACTCTGTAAAAGATCTCTGAATGGCCTCAACTAACAGCTTTAAGTTACTTATATCGTTATCCCAGTACTTGTGCCAGTTGATAACATTTTTATGAAAAGTCCAGCAGACTATCTTGGTCAAAGAAATAAAGATAATAGCTTTTTTTGGTGGGGAGATTATTTTCTTTTAACTCCCTACTGGTCGATCCCTTTGTCTGTTAGTTTTTGTCTATTTTAGAGTTTTCATATAAGTGGGATCATTCAGTCTTTAGCTTTTTGTGTCTGATTGTTTTTTACTTAGCATAAAATTTTCAAGATTCATCCATGTGATGGTACATATCAGAATAATATTACTGAGTAATATTCCAGTATTGCGTATGTATGTACCACATTTTATTTATTCCTGTATCTGTTGATGGACATTTAGGTTGTTTTCCTCTTTTGGCTAGAGTGATGAGTGATGCAGTATGCAGTGGTATACGAGTGTTTGTTTGAGTCACTGTTCTCAATCCTTCTGAGTGTTCTTAAGTGCAGAATTGCTAGGTCCTATATTTTATGTTTCACATTTCTTAGGAACCACCAAATTGGTTTCCACAGTGGCTGTGCCATTTTGCACTCTGGTGGGATAATACATTTTTTACTATATTTCTTTGTTCTGGCTTCTTCTAAAGCTGTGCAAAACCAAATTATTTGATCCCAGTAAACTTCGCTTACAAGTTTCTCCTGGTCATGTACATACTGTGCACAGAGAAGCACCTATACAACTTAGAAAGTTTGACTTTTTTTCTGATAAATCCTCTTATAACTCCATATCAAGGAGTATTTCTTCTGACAATTCAATTTTCTTTTCCTTTTACATATTTATTTTTTCTGTTCTAAATAATAAGTAGCAATTCACTGGAGAAGCCAAGGTAGACAAATGAGGTCACCAAGAGTGGACCAAAAAATGTCACCATTTTTCTACAGGACCAAGTGTGTAATGACTGAGTGAAAAAAATAATGTCCAAGAGTAGCTTCCCAGGGGTGGCTGATCTTAAACTTCCAAAGAGGAAATGCTTGATGTTGTGAGGATCATCTTCTTAAAAACCATTTGGGGATTTAAAGCTAATATTTTGATGTTATGACATTCAAAGGCAGAACATAAGCAAAGTGCCAAAAGATTTTAAAGAATCCATCAATACTTGCAGTCAGGTGGCTTCCCTTTAGAAAAACGACATTATTCAAAGTGAAAAATGAATTAATTAGAATGCCCTTAGGACACAGAATCTGCTTAAGAGTGTTAGTGGAAAAGTTAATTAATCACTGCAGAATAAGCTCCCCAGTAAAGCATCCATGTCTCATTGCTTGGGATTGCTACTCTTCTTTTCTGTTTGCCCTCCTTTCACTTGATGGAACTGTTTTTTACATTTTATGCTTTGTCTGGTGCTTTCAATCCTCCGTCATTAAACTGCATATATCTGCTGTAAAGACATGAAGGATAGTGGGAAAGAAAGAAAGAGATGAATAAAGCTTCTTACCCATTCTAAGGAATACTCTTCTATTTGGAAGATAGTCAGCCTTAATTGTTTATATAGACTCCTGGTGTGGCGCTGTAGGATCAGCACTGGACGTCAAACCACAAAGTCAGTAGTTCAAACCCACCAGGCAAACCCTGTACAGGGTCACTGTAAATTGGAACTGACTCGATGGTATTTAACAACAACAACAATTGTTTAAACATCATCTCTGAATTCTCAATGAATGATTTAAAAGGACCATCCCATCAACTTTACCAAAGTAGTGAGTAGAGAGTAGTTTAAATCTACCGTTACTATTAACAGTGCCAACCACCAACTGATTTTAATTGGATTTAACTTTTGCTCTTGGTGTAACACAACTTGGCTCTGCTCCCTCAGATGAACAAAGGACCATTAATCATATTATTTAACAAAAGAACGGTGTGGGCTTGCACTGAAAGCATTTAATAGAGGTTACATTTGTACGTGCTGAAATAATAGTCAACTAAAGCATAATTGGATTCTTGCCAGTGGTGGAGGAACGTGATATCCCAAGGAGGACCTGGGCCTCACCAGAACACATTTCTCAACCTCAACACTACTGACTGTGTAGGGGCCGAATCATTCTTTATTGTGGGACGGCTGCCCTATGAGGGATAGGATATATAGTAGCAACATCCCTGCTAGACTCCGGTAGCACCTTCCACCATTAGTCAATGTAGTAACCAAAATGTCTACAGATTTTACCAAATGTCCCCTGGGGACCCAGTTGCCCCTACTTGAGAACCACAGCACTAGAGGAATGTGCGTCCTTCACCTTTTCTGCACTGTGACTCAGAATGGTTCTGTTTAGCCCATGGTTAATGAGTCCTGATGGAGCACTGGTTAAGTGCTTGGCTATGGGTGTAGCGCTCTAGGATAAGCACTGGACTGCGAGGTCAGTTTGAACATCAAGGTTGGCAGTTCCAACTCATTAGCTACTCCTCGGAAACCTATATGAGTCAGAGCCAAATTGACTGCACTGAACTACAACAACAACAACACTAAGATTAGTGGTTTGAATCCACCCGGTGACTCCATAGGAGAAAAAACTGGCAATGTACACCCATAAAGATTACAGGCTAGAAAACCATAAGTGACAGTTCTTTGTCATGTGGGGGTCACTTTGAGTAGGAATTCAACTCGATGACACATAACAATAAACAACAATCCCATGGTTCCTGAGGTCCTTGAACTGACTCCCTATCTAGAGTATTCTCCTTCCCATGGTTACAAACTACATGTGCAGAAACAGCTCAGAAATTAGTTTTTAACAGAACATATTTTATTATGAGTGTTATTTTGTTGTTAAGTGCCATCTAATTGGTTCTGACTCATAGAAACCCTTTATAGGGTTTCTGAGGAAAAGTTGGTGAGTTTGAACTGCCGACCTTTTGGTTCAAACTGACCTTGAGGTCAAGAGCTTATCCTTCTGTACCACAACAGGCAGTGTCAAACCAAAAGCATCAGGAAGACACTCTGAGGAGGAGATAGTGAAAAAAGCATATATAAGTGGGACCCTGGTAAAATAATCTCCTGATGATCATTGAAAATTCCTCACATGTTGAGTTTTCAGGAGAGAGAACCAGGACACGTGTGGGTTTCAGGACTAGTCCCCATGTAAAAACAGTCATTAAGGACATGCAATAGATGCTGGAACAGCTTTCAGTTCACTGAACTGACTCACTCACCCACTGCCATCAAGTCAATTCTTAGGTGCAGTGACGGGGTTTGTGAGACTATAAATCTATACATGAGCAGACAGGGCATCTTTCTCCAAACTGACTGCACATAGAGCCCAATGCCTAAGGCAAAACACTCTCGCTAAACTATAAACTACTTAGTATGCTTTTGTTTGACCTGAAGATGAATTCAGGAAAATCAGTACCTTAAAGGCTTTGGGCTCAAAAGGAGAACACTTAAGGACAAATGGCTTGAGTCTGTCACCATAACTCCAAAGGTCCAGCAATCTGGATTCTAGGAGAATTGAAATCATTTCTCAGCACTCAATCCTTCTGATAGGACCAAGATCTTTACCCTGCATGTTTTTATTAGGACACATTATTATGAAGCTAAAATGACTCTTCTTTTTCAGTGAAGTAACTAACCAAGCAATACAATAGGTTTTCTTTATTTATGTCTACTGTCTGGCTGGCTTTTTATTGGATGCCTGGATTCTTGTCCAGTCTTCCTCAGTGCTTGAAAAACTGGCATTATTTCCCTCATAGGTTGAGTTAGTTTTCTTCTTCCTCTTGTTCTCCAAGCTGCTTTGTCTCAATGTAACTTAATGGGACGGAAAAGTATTATTGCCAGGGTCTCTGTGTTCCTACATCATTCAAATGCTGGTCCCCTTCATTTCTTCCACTTCTCTTCCCTTTTCTTCAGCTTTACTCTGGTAAATTTGATCCGAGTGTTGAACTTATGTTTGAACTGCTCTTTAACTGATCCCTTGTTAGGGCTATTTAATAATACTAATGGGTCATCCTCTATCATGTAAATTTTTCTTCTCCAAATTCCAACCATTCTAAGACTCAGCTGTAGGTAAAGTCTCCATTAAAGGATTTCTTAGTAGAACTGACTGCCTTTCCCTGATTGCATAATCAGCAGCTAATGAAACTATCTTGGTAACAAGAGCTTTCCTGTATTACATCCTCTCTTAAGACTAAGTGGGAAGACAAATGTATCATCCTGAGAAGACCATTGATTGATTGTTCACAGTTTGAGTTTGATTGTTCTTAAGGGGAATCATCTCCAGCTTCTCTAAGTGGGTTTTTATTCTATTGGAAAGTTACTGTTGTACTTTCCACACAGTCTAAGCCTATAAATACCATGTTCTGTTGCAGGAGAATAAAAGTATCATAAATGCTACAGTTTAGGAGCACCTGGAAGACCCCACACAGGGCTCTTCTGTTAGCTGTAAATCAAGGCATTTCATTGTACATCTTCTTTTCATGGCAGGAGGGAACCCCCGAGGAAGGTTTGCCCTGGGCCTGGTGCAGAATGAGTGGAAGGTCTATGTGAAGAGACCTCTAGACAGAGAAGAGCAAGACATTTACTTCCTCAATATCACTGCCACTGATGGGCTGTTTGTAACACAGGCTGTGGTGGAGGTGACTGTCAGTGATGTAAATGACAATAGCCCAGTCTGTGATCAGGTGAGATTTGGGGATGTATCTCTAAAGTTAAATCATGACCCATTTCATTTTTCTCTTAAGAACAGCCTAAGGCCTGCTCTGACCTCCTTAGTTGGTGACTTCCAATTAGAGATAAGGTAAGAGGTAGTGTCTAGAATGAAATATTGTAGGCATGAAAATAGTACAGATAGCAAGACTGGATACCTAACTATGCCCTCCCCCCCAAAAAAAACCCAAATTAAATTAGTTCTGTTATAGTTTCATAGGATAAGTACTCAACCACAAGGCCAGTTTGAACCACAAGGTCAGTTGTTCAAACTAGCAGCTCCTCGGACACTCTATACAGGGTCACTATGAGTCACAACCGACTCAACGACACATAACAACAACAAAGTACTCAAAAAGCACCTTATCCCTTATTTGTCTTAAGTCACTGTTTTCATAAAAAAAAAAAAAAAAAAAAAAAAAAAGGATAAATTATTATTATTATTTTTTTACTCTTAAAGGATAAATTAATTCTGTAAGTTTGCACAACTGACTAGTAGCCATGTTGGTACTGACCCTAGGTATCCAAGCTTCTCTTAAACCATCCTTTCCACTAATGTAGTACATAACATGACAACCAAGGATAAGCAGGCAGTACTAGATTTAATTATTTTTTACTGAAATCGCTAAATTTTTATAATTTTAAATCACTAATCATTTATCATTTTTATTACCATATGAATCAAGCAACATTATCAGTATTCTATAACTTAGAAAAGGAGCCTGGTGGAACAATGGCTAAGCACTTGGTTGTTAACCCAAAGGTCAGCAATTCGAACCCACTAGCCTTTCTCTTTGTGGGAGAAATGACCTGGTGCTCTATTCCCATAAATATAGTAGTCTATGAAATCCTAAGGGAGCATTTCTACTCTGTCCGGTAGGATCATTAGAAGTCAGAGTGGACTCAATGACATACAGCAAAAACAACATAGATAAGAACGTTTCTAGGAAGGGTAAATAGTTAACAAACAGCTGTTAATCAAAAAGTTGAAGGTTTGAGTCCATGTAGAGGATCATTTGAAGAAAGGTTTGACAATCTCCCTCCAGCCTTGAAAGCTCTGTGGAGCATTGTTATACTCTGATATTCATGTGGTTACCATGAGTCACAACTGACTCAGTGTTAACAACTTCTTATAGCTTTAAAAATATGATAAATAGATTTCATCTCTCATGTTAATGCCAAATGTCAACAGTGACATGTTAATGAATTGACAGGCTCCCATGAGCTCACTGGGACTTAGCAGAGAAGAGTGTCATGATTATTGCATGATGTGTACCTAGATTCCACAAGGACAGAGATTTTTGCCTGTCTTATTTACCATTGTACTCTCTACACTTAAGGTAGTATCAAGCACATAGTAGATGCTCAATAAATATTAAAGGGCATGGGAGTGACAGGACAACAGATATAACATGTTTCATCATTTATTGTTGTTATATAGTTGTGTGGTGGAGGGAAAAAAACGACAGAAGCTAAGTGATATAAATGGAGTCCTGGTGTGGTACTGGACGATAATACACTGGACTGCAATGTTAATTTGAATGGCACGGTCAGTGGTTCAAATCCACCAGCTGCTCCTCAAAAACCCAGACAGGGTTGCAAATGAGTCCGAACAGAATCAATGGTACTTCAAAACAACAACAATTGATATAAATATATTTTTAAAGAAATCCTGGCAATTGTCCCAAAAATAAGAATTATGTAAACACCTCTTCTTACCTTTGCTCAGGTTGCATATACGGCATTGTTTCCTGAAGACATTCCATCAAATAAACTTATCCTGAAAGTTGGTGCCCAGGATGCTGATATTGGATCAAATGGAGATATACGATATTCACTCTATGGATCAGGAAACAATGAATTTTTTCTAGATCCAGAAAGTGGTAAGGTGAAATTTGTTCTTTGGGTAAATGCCATTATTTAGCCATAAGAGAAGTTAAACTCATATGGTCTCATCACAAATGACTAGTTAGTACACTGGAGCCTAGTTGTGAGGTTCTATCATCATGGAGTTTCTCTAGAAAACAGTAGGAGCACAGAGTGCTGGAAGATGGATGCCTTAGATAAATACATAAAATGTATTTCACGTATAAAACGTATTCTAGCTTTACCTATATTTATTAGCATCAAGTTATCAGGTATCTCTATTTGCATCTATTTTTTCTCATGCCCATGAGTTAAGGTAGCTGTGTATAAAAAGTATAGCATTACAACATGAATGCAGGTTTCCATAAAAAAACCAGATAGCAATGCATAATGAGAGATTTCCCCATGCTAAATTCCCTTTTGGGTCCCTTCCTAATTTTTATTAATGCAATTTTCTCATTTTTATTAAACATCCCTGCCTGGTTTCTCCTAAGTTGTGGGCCACTACATTTATTTAACTATTCATATAAAATGTATAAACTAAAAGGTTAGGTATGCTAAATGCAGCTACATTAAAGGCCAATGATAATGGAGAAGACAACTTATGTCAGTGTCTGTCTAATGGCAATTTTTATATAAAGTTAAAGATTGAATGAATAGCTTGTATATTTCCAGTACTCTGCTGGCTCTAGAGAACAGTGAGCCTCCAAAAAAGGTCATATAACCTTCCTACCCCATTCTCTCATGTCACTTGTATCCTACTAGGAAGCACTGACTCAGCTACATGGGAATATGAGCCTGGTTATTATTTACACAATAACTAGCACTTATTGATTAGCTAGTAGACATAAAAGCACTCTATAGGATATTTGTTGTCAACTCCAGGATGAATATTACAAAGCATGCCCAAGGGAAAGTGTAACCCAGTAGGGAAGACAGATAAGGAAACCAATAATAATAATGATGGTGAAAAACAGAATAAAATGAGTACCCAAGAGAGGTAGAAGTGGAGGTATCTGAGCACAGTAAAAGAAGTAGCTACTATTCTGATGAGAGAAAAGAGGTAACTGTTTTAAGGAAGGGTTGGCATTTGAACTGAGACAGTATGCCAGTAGCTAAAGCAGGATACCCCAGGCTTCCTGGACAGCATGAGGCAAGAGCTTGACCCATCAAAGAATAACATCAGCACTAGTGTGAGGAGCTAGAGAATGCATTGTGAAAATAGTGCTGGGAAAAATGACTTTAGACTAGGTCATGGAGTGCCTTGAATGTTCTCCTGAAATGCCATTAAACATCTTGGAGGATAGGGAAATGACCCAACCTGTGTTTGAGGAGAACTGGATGGTTGCTTATAGGAAGCCATAGGTGGCTTTGCCTGAACAATATCTACTAATTTTCTTTAAAAGTAGTATTTACTGAGAGTTCTGTGGCTCTGTAGGATATGCACTGAATTGCTAACCACAAGGTCAGTAGTTCAAGCCCACCAGCTGCTCCACAGAAGAAAGATCAGACTTTCTGCTCCAACAGATTTACAGCATTGGAAACCTTGTACAGGGTCACTATGAATTGGAACTGACTCAACGGCACTTAAAACACCACCACCAATATTTACTGAGCCTGGTCGCTATGAGTTGGAACTGACTCCACGGCACATAACAACAAGAAGTCGCTATGGATTGGAACTGACTTGACGACATTTAACAACAAGAACAAAACTGAGCAAATAATCCAAGAAGCTGAATTTTATGAAGAAGAACGTGATATCAGGATTGGAAGAAGACTCATTAATAGCTTGCGATGTGCAAAATAATACAACCTTGCTTGCTGAAAGCAAAGAGGACTTAAAATACTTACTGATGAAGCTCAAAGACTGCAGCCTTCAGTATGAGTTGCACTTCAACATACAGAAAACAAAAATCCTCAACACTGAGCCTAACATCAAAATAAATGAAGACAAGATTGAGGTTGCCAAAGACTTCACTTTGTTTGGATCCACTATCAACACTCATGGAAGCAGCAGTCAAGAAATCAAGAGATGTATTGCATCAGACAAATCTACTGCACAAGACCTCTTTAAAATGTTGACGAACAAAGATATCAGTTTGAGGACTAAAGTGCACTTGATCCAAGCCATGAAATTTTCAATAACTTCATATGCATGTGAAATTGGACAATGAATGAAGAAGACCATAGAAGAATTGATGTATTTGAGTTATGGTGTTGGAGGAGAATAATAAAAGTACCACAGACTGCCAAAAGAACAAACAAACAAACAAAAATCAGTGCTGGAAGAAGTACAGCCAGAATGCTCCTTGGAAGCCAGGATGGCCAGACTTTATCTCTCATACTTTGGACACATTATGAGGAGGGACCAGTCCCTGGTGAAGGACATCGTACTTGGTAAAGTGGAGGGTCAGAGGAAAAGAGGAAGTCAGCAAACAAAACGGATTGAAACCGTGACAGCAGCAATGGGCTCAAACGTAGCAATGATTGTGAGGTTGGCACAGAACTTGCCAGGGCAGGGTTTTGTTCTGTTGTACATAAGGTTGCTTTGAGTCCATACCAACTTGAGGACACCTAACAACAATAACAGCAACACCTTCTCACCAAATAGCATTTATTAGGTCAGTCACTGTGCTTCTTGTCATTTTCTATAAAAACTTAAAATATGGATGCTGATGTTCTTCATCAATACAACTAGTCCAGTGATTAAAATATAGACATATCTACATTCTAATTGGCATATAGCTTTTGCCTTAAGCTTCTCAGGTATCTCCATCCAAGACCTTTTCCCTCCTTCAACAGCCACCTACCCATCTACTACCATCTAGCAAGTAAAAGACTTATCCTGCACGGTACAGGGTCTTCAAGATTCTGGTCTAGTGTTAAAGTAAGCCTCTGTTTTGATTGCTTTGGTTTGTTTTAAAAGATGGAGTAAAAAGATATTGAATATCTGGAAACCAAGAGGCTGGGTTAGCCTAATGATATTACTGACCATTAGACAACTTAGAATGCTGGCTCATTCTTGGTACTTTTTTTCCCCCTGAAGATATAGCAGAAATACAGAAACATAGCAGATATCCTGAGCAGATCCTGAGAAGTTCAAAAATATGTGCAGCTTCTCACATAGTGGAAGAGAGAAGCCTTGATACCATAGACTTTACAGTGGGGTTAATTACAGGCCTTTGAAGGTCAATGACAATCATTCATTTTGTTTGTTGGTGCATCTAGAGTACCATAAATGCTTTCTTAATGCCTAAAAATTTGAGTTTGATGTCTGTTTTTAAAGCATGGTACAAGGGTCAAATATAAATGGCTTTTCCTGCTTAATAGATTCTTTACATAATTAATTCTCTACTCTTCAAAGAAGGGTCAGGCCAACCATGCTGCCATTGATTTTCACAGGTGAGTTAAAAACATTGGCTCTGCTGGACCGGGAGCGGGTCCCTGAGTACAGCTTGATTGCCAGGGCCACGGATGGCGGTGGCCGGTTCTGCCAATCCAGCATCCATCTGATCCTGGAGGATGTGAACGATAACCCTCCTGTATTTTCTTCAGACCACTATAACGCCTGTGTGTATGAGAATACTGCCACCAAGGCTCTGTTAACCAGAGTTCAAGCTGTGGATCCCGACATCGGTAAGTCACTTTCTGTGATGGGGTATCTCCCTATTGATACATTTATCATGTGATCTATAAGATGCTTCTTTTCCTTCAGTTTTATGAGACCCTTCCTCAGTCCACCACAAAAAAAAACATGTATGTTAAACTATATTTGATGACTCCATATACTTCCTTCTTCTTTCTAGTATTTAAAGAAGAGATGGTATGAGTTCCTTTACCTTCTACCAAAGGATTGCCTTTTTTATTTTTTTTGCCTTGTGAATAAAAATAATAGCTTCCTTACTTGCTTATGTCTCCCGAATGTATTTAAGATGCTGTGTTGTGTGTCACAGAGCATTCATTTCCATTTCTATAAAGAATTGCATCACATGCTTCAGCTGAAATATGACAATCTCGATTTATTGTGGTGCCCCATAGTACAAAGACCAATTACTAAATGGGCTGGCAGTCCAACATGGATTTTTTAAGCTGCTGCTTTTTTCCCCGGAGTATTTTGGTCACATATGAACTGACGTTACTAGGCTGGGTGCGAGTGGGGGAGATAAAAAGGAATTAGAATTGAAAGTTATTACTAATAAAGTTTGTGTTAAAATTCACTTTACATAATGAGGTGGTGAGTTAGAAAAGACTAGAGTTAATTGCTAGGTAGTCCTTCTGAGAATGCATAAGTTATTGAGGTGACTGTATGATGGAATATAAATACGAAAGGGCACATAGACAGCCTTTTGGTTGTGCATTTTAAGAGATGTAAATCAGATGGGGTGTGTCTGATATGCAAAACAGGCCTTTCTATAATTCAGTGTCTTATTGCTTAATTCTGAATTGAAAGAAAAATTATTGGACTAATGGGAAAGTAAATACATGATAATTAGTTGAAAACAAACGTAAAGCCCAGGGTCCCTGCATATTTCCCCTTAGAGAAATTACTGGTTACACTTCAAGTTATTGCTCTGACCTCATTAGCATAATGTTTGAAGCTGAGAATCAGCCTTTTAAAAAATCTGAATATTATAGAACTTTGTTTTAAAAAACTGAAAGGAAAAACAAAGGTAATCAGGAAAAGATTCTGGTTGGTATGTAATTATGCAATATCTACAAATCCTTATTAAAAAGAGAGGATTGCTAAACATTCCATGAGTTTTGTTAGCAGAGTTTCAGGAAAAGAAGACAGAATTAATGTGAATGATTTTTTTTTTAATATGTTAAATTTTAATTGGAGAATTTTGTTAATTGAGGCAGAGGTAAAAAAAAAAAATATTTAAGCTATCCTATTTCTAACCTATGTTAACAAAAACTTTAAAAATTGGAATTTTTCCACCCTTTCCTTATAAGGCAGAATTAGGTATATTTAAGTTATTAGAAGTTAGAGACAGAAGGATTTGATTAGTGCACTTGTTTCAGGCATGGAGCTGTGTTGGGGGTGGGGGTTATTGACTCAGATATGGAGCTATTTTATAATTAGCGATGAAGAATATCTAAAGCCTCATTTTCACATATTTCTGAGTCAGCTGCCTGGGTTGAGAGGACCGAAAGAAAGGACATTTAGTTTCTGGGCATTCAGAGCAGAGATGAGGAAGCCCTTAATGGACCAAAATTGTAATGAGGACCAGCACCTTGCCCTATTCATTTTCACAAATTCTTATTGCCATGGAGTTAGCTACAACTCATGATGACCTTATATATAACAGAATTCAATGTTGCTCTGTCCTGCACCATCTTCATGATCATTGGTTTACTTAAGTTCATTATTGCAGCTACAGTGCATTTTGAGAGCTTTCCAGCCTAAGGAACTCATCTTCCAGCACTACATGAAACAATATTCTGTTGTAACCGTATGGTTTTCATTACCTAACTTGTGACAGTAGATCACCAGGCCTTTCTTGCTTACCTCTTTTACTCTGGAAACTGCTGAGATGCATCTGTCATGAAGGACGACCCTGCTGGTATTTGAAATCGTGTGGCATAGCTTTCAGTGTTATAGCAATTCACAAGCCACAGACTGACAGATGGATGGTGGCTTGCTAATTAGCAAAAAAAGCGTATGGTCTGAGCTTTAAGTAGAGACAGAGGTTACAGGTGTTTCTAACAGCTACATATAATGTGAATTTGCCCATCTACTGTATCAGCCTAACTCAGAAAAAAGTAAAATTCTAGTATGACAAGACAGATTCTGACTGATTCTCTCTGCGTTTATAGAATAGCTCACTTAGCTTTAAAATGAACAATAGTAATAGCTGGGGATATACAAATGAATACTTCTGAAAACATCAATTGAGCATTTCCTATGTGTCGCTATGGGTCAGAACCGACTCGACGGCACTTAACAACAACAACAAGGCACCATGCTGAAGAAGTGGTTGTTAATGTCTTGGTCATCCCTGCAGGGGAATTTCAGTAGCAGTGATGTCAGTCCCACTGTGATTCAAACAAATGTCAACATTATTCAGAGTTCTTGAGTATCAGGGTCTGATGACTTATGGCATTTACGTTAGTGATCTGAGCAGAAAACTTACTTTTTCAGCAGTCTTTTGCAATGGACCTTTTACCTTTTAATCTCAACTGTATACTGAGATTACCAGAATATTCTGTGGAATTTATTTTAGGGCCAAACCTATCCTCTACCAGAAACTGAAATTACACAAAAGTGACTGGCTGAATCCAGCCCTGTAGTAGCTTTAGTTTGAACTACAGAGAGTTAACAACAAAAAGTATTAGTTAGCTGCTAAAACAGGAATGTGTTCTTTAATGTATGTTTAGAAAGCATCTGACCACATATACAAGTATACTAAACTACACTCAACAACAACAACATTAAGTTATGGAGGGTTTTATTTATTTTTAAAAACGAAAGGAGATTTTCATTTTGTTTTGTTTTGTTTCTCTGTAATGGAGTCCTGATATGCCACTGTAGGATAAGCACTGGATCATAAGTTAGTTTGAACCACAAGGTTGACAGTTCAAACTCGCCAACCCCTTCTCAGAAACCATATACAGGGTCGCTATGAGTCGGAATCTACTTGACAGCATTTGTTGCTGTTTTTGTTGTTAAGTGCCATCAAGTTGATCCCAACTCATAGAGACCCTGTATAGGGTTTCCAAAGAGCAGCTGCTAAGTTTGCACTGTGGACCGTGCAGTTTAAACTGACCTTGCAGTCCAGTGCATAACAATAATAAATGGTTTTAAAGATTCCAGACTCTCCATGGGTGAGACACTGGCAGGAAAGGCAGAGGCCATGGCTCAGGGCACTGGCTCTGGGGATTTGTCCAAAGGCAGGTAATTGTTGTTGTTGTTAAGTGCCGTTGAGTCAGTTCCGACCCATAGCGACCCTGTACAGGGTTTCCGAGGATGTAAATCTTTACGGGAGTAGAAAGCCTCATCTTTCTCCCACGGAGCAGCTGGTAGTTTCGAACCGCTGACCTTAAGGTTCGCAGCCCGATTCATAACCACTATGCTACCAGAGCTCCTTGCAGGTAATAGTAGTGGCTAAAAGGTCTGCTGCATAAGACCTCCTTGAAGTGTTAAAGAGCAAACATGTCAGTTTGAGGACTAAGGTGTGCCTGACCCAAGCCATGGTATTTTCAATAACCTCATATGCATACAAAAGTTGGACAGTGAATACAGTAGACCATAAAAGAATTGATACATCAAACTAGGGTGCTGGAGGAGAAAATTAAAAGTGCCATGGACTGCTAAAAGAATGAACCAATCTGTGTTGGAAAAAGTAAAGCCAAAATGCTCCTTGGAAGCCAGGATGGCCAGACTTAGTCTCTCATACTTCAGACATATTGTCAAGAAGGACCAGACCCAGAGAAGGGTATCATGTTTGGTAAAACTGAGAGTCGGTGATAAAGAGGAAGACCCTCAATGAGGTGAATTGGCACAGTGGCAGCAGCGATGGGCTCAAACAACAATAGTGAGGTTGGCTCAGGACCGAGCAGTGTTTTGTTCTGTTGTGCATAGGGTCTCTATAAGTCGGTACCAACTCGATGGTACTTAACAGCAACAACAACAGGGTAAGGGATGCTCTTGCTGCTCAGGTAGGTGGGGCATTGAGCAGGCTGAAGCAATCTCTTTACTTGCTTCTCTCTCTGTGCTTATTCCTCTGAACTCTGCCAAGAGCTCAAGCCAGAAGCACTGGCAACACGGACAACCAAAGCAGGTTCCCATAAGGTTTTAATCACATAACGTTCGTTTCACAGAATGTATCATGGACCTTAAGCAATGTATACCTATTTTTTAAATTTAGGAAACTTTCAATAGAAATGTAGATTTTCCACTACTTAAAAAAAAAAAAAAATAACAGCAATTCCAGGCCCACATTGCTAAAAATAGTAGGAGCTGAATAACATCGCCTTCTGGGGCAGCGGCCTTATCTTCCATTCCACTACACCCCTTCACGTATTTGTGTTACTACCTGATCTTAGTGACACTGGAGTTTGATACTCATTCTTTAAAGTGATGAGAAAATTTCTGATTTATTTTTTGTTAAAGACGTTTCATTTTGGAATAAATACAGATTCCTAGGAAGTTGCAAAACTCAGTACTTGGTGAGAGCCCTGTACACCTTCTTCCCAGCACCCTTTTCCCAATGACAACTTTTCCCAATAGGCAAACAAGACCAGGAAATCGACATTGGTTTGATTCATAGAGCTTATTCAGATTTTACTAGTGTGTATGTTTCCATGTCTTTTTGTCACTTATGTAGCTATAGCTTCATGTAACCACCACTATATACTACGTACAAAACGGTTACATCACCCAAGCTCCCTCTTACTACTCCTTTATAGTCACTCCCACCTCCTCCCTGCACTCTTCTCAATCCCTAACCTCTCTATTTCATATGTGTGCTTTTATTATTTTAAGAATATTAGTTAAATGGAATTATGTAATATGTAACCATTTTTCACTAATTCCCTCAAGAGTCATCCAAGTTGTCTAATTGTTTTTTGATCCTAGTGAAGAAAAATATTGGATCCATATGTGTAAAAGGCAGGGATATTTTGTTCGTGAAACT